GCTTTCAGCTACAGTTCTGCTGCTTTCAGCTACAGTTCTGCTGCTTTCAGCTACAGGCCTGCTGCTTTCAGCTACAGAACTGCTGCTTTCAGCTACAGTTCTGCTGCTTTCAGGTCTGGAGTTTTCAGCCACTGGCCTACAGCTTTCAGCTACAGTTCTGCTACTTTTAGCTACAAGACTGCAACTTTCAGCCGCAGGCCTGCTGCTTTCAGCTACAGTTTGTCTGCTTTTAGCTACAGTTCTGCTGCTTTTAGTTTTTTTTAGCTAGTGTTCTGCTCATTTTACTCTGTTACGTTCCTTTTAGCTTCTGTTCAACTTGTTTTAACTTCATTTCAGTTTCTTCGGCAGATTTCTGCGGTCATTCAACACTCAGCTTTCACTGTATTTTCACAGAAGACAACTTTAGTTATTTCTGTTTACTAACTTTACTACACTTTCCTCTTTTGCCTCACTTCCTCTTCTGTTCTTCCCGTTTTGACACTTTCTTCCTCCGTTTTCAAACACATCAAAAACACGAAGAACCTGAACCCTTTACGCTCTTCCATGTGCCACTATTAATTTTTTTACGCCAACTACTCACTTGCGAACAAACTTGGATGTGAACTTGCTGAAAATCCCTGTGGCCCCGTGTGTCCTCCGGGCCTGGCTGTTGCCGTGCGACAGTGATGGGGAGGCGGGGCTTCCGGAGTAGGTGGAGCCCTGCTGGTCCCGGGCGCCCCGCTGCTGTCCCGCGTGGAAAGTGCTGCGGATCCCCACCCCTCTGGGGAAGTTGGTTCGGTCTGAGACAGTGGCGCTGCTGATGTTGTGGGCTGACGGGGAGGCGCCGGGCGCCCGCTGCGACGCGCCACTGCAGGACGAGAAGAAAGAAAGGAGGAGGTGAAGAGAGCAACAAAAACGAAGGCGAGGAAACTGAGGAGTAGGAGGCGATAAAAAAATAAAATCAACGCAAAGACACGTTGAAAATCACTTTATCTTGTGTCAGTTTCAACTGCCAACAAAAATGTGAACTATTAGGACTTTGCCTGTTTGTGTGTGTGTGTTAGCACAATATCCCCTGAGCCATTGAACAGATTTGAATGACACTGTCAGATAGTCTACAACTATTTAACTTTTGGAGTCAACCGGATTTAAAATGGCTGCACACCTAAGCGACATTAGCCATCACAACCACGACTCGAACTCAGTCTGTTTTACAGATGTTGACCTAAAACCTGGTATGGTAGTAGCTGAGGCTGATCCCCAACATATATTCTGATGGCTAACTGATTGCTTAATATTTTTAACATTTTGCCATCTCTAGATGAATCTTTGTTGAATATTTCATGAACCACAGAACAAATTTTATTGAAACTTTCAGAAAATAATGAAAAGACAGTCCTCAACTAAGTACCGTATTTTCCACCGTACAGGTTGCACCGCCCTATAAGTCGCATCAGTCCAAATATTTCTAATAAAGTGGAAAAATCCATAAATACGTCACTTCGCCATATAAGTTGCATCTATCATGCGTCACTGCTGACAACCTGGAGATGTGGGCCGGTGTGCCAAAAATCGATTGGCTGCCAAATGGTGGCCGCAGGAGCATGCACGGGAGGACTAACAATAATTTAACAAGATAACTACCTAAAAACAATTATTTGTTTGCTTGACGTTACAACAAAGGTGTATGTCAGTTGACCTTTTACTTAATAAATGCACTTCAATGATCAAATTAGCTGCATTTCGCAGAGGCGCCACAGCGAAATGAAGCTGATTTGACGGTTGCTCCAGGTGAGCTGGATGAAGGTGGCAGTATATGGCAAGCCGACTGTGTCATTAATATCCACTTTTACCTATTACATGACACACCGGCATGCCATACTGATCGAGTGCCATGTAGCAGCTGAAAGTGGTAGTGTTCAATATTTTCAGTCAGAATGAATGAAAACGGTAATTTCTTAAGCAAAAGTAAGTTTATAAATATGGAAAAAAAAATCCATAATAAGTTGCTTCAGCGTATAAGTCTCAGGGCATGCAAATTATGCAAAAAAACGTGACTTATAGGCCAAAAAATACGGTAGGTTTTGAAGATGACTGCCAGAGCTAAATGAACTTAACCAAAACAAAATGACAAGTGAAGTGAATTCCACAGATAAAGGGCTCAAATCTGATGTGGTAGTAGCTGAGAGTCATTTACAACACATACCACAAGTGTGACGTTGTGGATTATCGCTAAGATTTTGCATAATGTAAGTTGGACTAATAAAAAAAAAATCATCTAATATTCTGACGAGAGGTGGCGGGTGATATGCATTCCTTCAAGGAAAGCTAGACTTTTGATTTACTTCATTTATGAAGTCAAACATAAATGAAGTAAAACATCTGCTTGTCCTGATGTTTCAGCCATCACTGGAGTCGACAGATCAGAAACATCTGTTCTTCCTCTTTGTTTCGCCTTGAAGCGCCTTCGATAAATTCACACTGGAAGTTGTCGTGATGCTGTAAGATTTTGTTTTTCACACTGAAATGTGGCACAAACTCACCTGCAGCAGACGGCAAGTGAAAAATTAGCAAGAAACATGAAAAAAATAAAAAAATAGACTGAACACAGAAAAATTAATTTCTGTGGAGGCTGCAGCAGGACCACAATAAAGGGTTGTAGGTGTTAATACAAACAGGAGCTTCAATAGGATGAAATCTTTAAATTCATGACTTTGGTCGCATTAAAATTTTTGTCTGAAACATATTTTTTTTAGATTCTTTATGTTGTAGCTGATAAAATGCGGTAAATATTTGAGTATCTGCGCCACTGTGACTGAGCTCGCAGCTCTTTCTGCCTAAAACAGAAGCATCCTTCCAAAGGAAAGATTACATAATGAACTGGAGGATTAAAAAAAAGAGAGACGAGTGTGAGGTGACGACGTGTAATGAACAGCCGGAGTCCATCGACAGACACGAGCAAAAAGGAAATGGTCAGATCAGACAGATTAGTGGGAGCTGTAACATTTGCCAACGTGAAGCATCTAATGTCACAACTGTGATGCTTGGTCATCTTCTACAGACGGGATGAATATGTGGTGGAAATGAACTTCAAGATGAACACTAGAAAGTTCCTGGAGAAACTGCTAAGTGGCGGCCATTTTAAATTTTGATTTGACAGTTTTAGGTGTTGGGGTTCACTCTCAGCTACCACCATACCAAATATCAGCTTAAAACAGCAAATTATCAACGAGTTAGTCATTTTTTTCTTTTAAGCTATGGTGGCCATTTTGGATTTTTGATTTGGATTCAGTATGTGATGGGGAAGGTTCTCAGCTATAACCTCACCAAAGTCCAGCTCCAAATGTGTAAAAATAGCTGAATTAAAGACATTTAAATTGAGCTTTGGTGGCCATCTTGAATTTTTTAAAATCCATTACTTATTGGGCATTGACACCAAATTTCAGCTTAATCTCTCTAGAAAGGGCTGATTTACTGTATTTTTCCTTTTTAGCTCAGACAGCCATCTTGAATATTTGATTTTGGTTTTAGTCTATGAAAAATTACCAATAAAAACTAATAAAAATAAAAAAAAACTACTAATAAAATATATGCATCTGTTTGCAAATTACGTTGCCATGGTAACTCGAAATGCTAGTAAAAGTAATAGCACACATCATGGCGCTAAGCCGGTCGTTTTGACTTAACATTTGTGGGGGGGACACAATGCGGTTTGGGCTGCATTAAAGTTGACGTAAGAGTAAGATATAAATTTAAGAAACCCTTGTCAGGTGGATAATAATTATACTAGGCTCTCCTAATAATAAATTTCCTAAAAGGAGTTTTAAAGTAAAAAAAACAACACTTGAAATCATTTATTTGTGACGTTGGGGAGCTCTCCTCGGGGGATTTACGACAGACACAGATGCTTTCAAACCCTGCAGAGTGAGGTGGTTCAGTTCCTCTGAAGAGGCTCGCAGGTCGAGGTTTGAACGACTTCAAAGAATTTGGGTGACAAATCGCCTCTCAAAATAAACACAGATGCTCTGTGCGTTTCAAACCCGTCTGGAGAGCATCAGTTATATTTTGACTCCTGCACATGAAATCTGCTAACAGAAAACGTAGCACCACACACGGGACGAACAATCTCTGGAAAAACTGCGTGAGTGTACTTCAGCAGATTAAATCAGAAATGTGCAGCCAAAGCGACCAAAACGTGGGCGGAGGTGAACAACAAAATAATGCACACAGTCAAGAATGCAATGTTGCATAATGTACAAATTATTATACACCAGAACAAAAAAAAAATCTGTCTGCTGCAAACATGGCCGCCCGGCTCGATAGTTGAAAACAACCGAAAAGTTTCTCAAAACATCAACTCACTAACCAGTCTCTCCCGGTGACAAACCTACAACGGAGTATTAGGGCCACGCTAAAAAAAGTCATAATATTACGAGAATAAAGTCACAATATAACCAGAATAAACTCGTAATACGTCCTGGGTCAGCTCGCACCTGCTGTGGACAGCCTCCAATGTGAGGCAATGTGTTTATGAAGTAGTCCACGATCACCTTTAGGTCACCGTTTGTGAAATATGGCTCCATCCACATTATGTCACGACTAATTAAGTCACGACTAAAAATCTGTCAATGCAGCAATTAATTGTAATGCCATACGGCTTCAGTTTATCATAAGAATCCATATGCCACAGTGCGTTGGGCCCCCTGCTGTTATACTGCCAACGTCAACATTCATCATTTTACTGCAGTTGTGAGACTGCTTGTTGTCAGAGTTCTGGTAATATTTTGACTTTATTCTGGAAATATTATGAGTTTATTCTCATAATATTATGATTTTATTCTCATAATATTATGACTTTATTCTCGTATTGTTTCTATTTTATTCTCATAATACTACGACTTTATTCTCGTATTATTTTGACTTTATGCTCATATTTCTATATTATTTTTGTGACTTTATTCTTGCAATACTACAACTTTATTGCCCTACAAATTTATTCTTGTAACACTATGACTTTATTCTTGTACTATTTTGACATTTTTCTCATACGACTTTATTCTCGCAATACTACGACTGTCATACAAATTTATTCTTGTAATATTTCTAAATTTTTCTCGTATGACTTTATTCTCATAATACTACGACTTTATTCTCGTAATACTATGACTTTATTCTCGTAATATTATGGCTTTATTGTCGTACAAATTTATTCTTGTAATACTATGACTTTATTCTTGTAATATTTCAAAATTTTTCTCGTACAACTTTATTCTCATATTACTACGACTTTATCCTTATGAATTACAACTTTATTCTCATAATACTACGACTTTATTCTCGTAATATTATGGCTTTATTGTTGTACAAATGTATTCTTGTAATACTATGACTTTGACTTTATTCTTGACATATTTTGACATTTTCCTCGAACGACTTAATTCTCATATTACTATGACTGTATTCTAGTTCGTAATGTAATTTTTTTTTCTTAGCAAGGCCCTAATACTCCGTCATACAAACCTCCTCTAGGGCTTGGATATTTTTAAACAGCCAATTAAGAAATAAACTCGGTCATTTTAAACCATTTTAAATTCGTTTACCACCTTAACTGCTATTAATGTATGAAGTGACTTTACAGTCTTATAAGCAGCTGTTAAAATAGTTCCGCTTTAAAACATATTTCCACAAATTTTATAAAACGAAAAACGCCAAAGAGACATTTGTTTTAATTTGAATAAAAAAAAAAAATCAGGGCTTTTTTTCCCCCTCCGTAATGTTTGTGGAGTTTTGCCTCAGATTATAAAAACCTGCTCTGAATCAACCTTTTGTAGTGAAGAAACCATTGATGACACTTCTCTTTAGCACGTCAGCCTGTAACCAAACAGATTTTCATTTGACCAGGAAGTAAGTGTATAAAGAAAAATACTGCCCGTCATAGTCCGAAGTGTCGGACTGTTCAGTTTAGGTCCAGCAGGTAAAATGCAACATGGCGCTCTGTGTCAACCTTTCCACGGGCTTTTAACTCATCACCATCTACTTCCTGACTGTTGCTAAGTAACCACAGGGTCTGAGAGCGCCAGTTTTAGAAATGTTGCTCACGATGGTTGGATGGTGAGGAAAATGTGGCTACAGAACTGTGCAAAAGTCTCAGATCGACTTGTTTTCTAAAATAATTTGCTTCCAAGCGGTAAACTTTCTCGCAATCTCTAAAACAGTGAACTTAATCAAAAATTATTCATGACTTTTGGAGGTCTTTTAAAAGTTTACTCTTGAATTTTGTCTAATTTTTAATTGTTATTGTGCACTGCTAAAGGCGGTATGCGTTTTTTTTTTTGTCTGTATTCGCAAAATATCTTGTGATTGACTGAATGGATTTTAATTAAACTTTTATAGAAATTATCACTGAGCTCGCATCTAACTGATCCCATGAGCATTCAACCTAATCCAAGATGGCTGCCACAGCTGAACGACCTCAGCTGCAACTCAGTGACCTTTAGAGACACTGAACTAACATTTAGAGTGGCAGTAGCTGAGTCATTCACACCTTCTGGGAACTAACAGATTGTGCAAGATCTGTTTTTAAAATGTTGCCATTAACAATTTGAGTCAACTTGTCTGTGTTAGCAAAATATCTCATGAAACTATGAATTGACTTTAATGCAAATTTCAGAAATTAATCAGTGGGTGTACGTTGACCTTATTAAAGATGGCCACCACTGCCAAAAGGCCTTAGAATGCACAAAAATGGCTACAGATCAGTCAGTTTTATAAATAGTGATGGTAGTAGCTGAGAGACATTCAAAACACATAATCCAAGCTCCAGCAGATCATCCAATATAACGCAATACCGAATGACACTGAGCATACCGTTATACAGGTGTGCAGTGGAGAGCATCCTGTGCTCCACTGTACAACTGGAGAGAGACAAGCTCTGCAGAGAGTGGTGAAGGCTGCACAGAAGTCTGTCGGAGTCGGTCTCCCCACCATCACAGACATCTACACCTCCAGACGCAGGAAGAGGGCTACCTGCATCACGAAGGACCCCACTCACCCAGCACACACACTTTTTACCCCACTCCCTTTAGGCAGGAGGTTGCGGAGCATTAAGTGTAGAACCACTAGACTGAGGAACAGCTTCTACCCTGAAGCTGTTAACTCATAAATCCCTAACCAGAAAAAAAAAAAAATCACTGTAATTCCACTTTAATTGGTGATATGCAACTTTATATGTGCTGCTGATTATCCATGCTGCTGATTTCTTACCCGTAAGCTGCTATATTCATACCTATCTGCTCACAACAGACTCATGTTCAGGTTGCTGTCTAATACACATTATTATATCATTACTGTTTAGCATATATCTTAGATCCTTGTATACAGTTTATTTTTATAAAAAATACTTTATATTTTTTGCTATTTTTGGATGTAACTGGGACCTTGCATACACAATTTCATTCCACCTCATGTGATGCGAATGACAATAAAGAACCTTGAACCTTATTTTCAAGGTTGCACCAAACAATTCTCATACAAATCTTAAGTCTAAAAGTCTGTCATGAAAGGTGACGGGTGATATGAATTCCTTCAAAGACTACAGTTCCACATCGACACAAACAGACTACTCATTACAAAGTGCATGATCCATATTTATTTGTCCGGTTTACGGGTCAATGCATTTATAGTTGCTGAAATATTATGAGGATGAACTCCCCAAAACTGCTCATTTTCGCTTTTTGAACAACTCTGCGGAGGCTTTTGGAGGCAGAGCGGCTTGTGTTAAATGAATCATCTCTTTGGGGAGAAAAATGCACCTCTTTGATCGACTGTCCCGTTAGTGGGAAAATAAAATATTGGCAGCAGGTGGCATCAATATGCCAGAGTTCATCCCGATGTGCATCAATGTAATCAAACTAGGAAAACAGAGAACTGATTTCAGAGCCAACATTTTATCCTGTTTTTGAATTTTTATCCAGGAATGATGATGATCTGATGATTCGAGCTGAAAAAGTTTAAGTTGTGTGTGTGTGTGTGTGTGTTTGAGAGAAACACAAAGACTGACACTTGCCTGGGCCGTGGTGCGTGCAGGTCAGAGGGGCATGGATGATTGGAGGAGGACAGGGACTTGTGGTGGCGGGGACGAGAGGAGGAGGAGGAGAGGACGGCAGCAGCTGAGGCAGTGGAGGCTCGGGAGCCCGGAGTGTTTAGGCTGGGAGGGGGGAGGGAAAGGAGGGAGGCAGAGGAGGAACGCCCAGCCCGACGCATCCGTCCAAACACATTCGCCAGGATCCGGCATTCACATGAAGACGAACACAGCGGGCGAGGGCGGGGGGAGGGGGGGTTGTGTGAGGGTGGGCGAGGTGGAGTATGGTTAGAGGCAGCACTCATCAAAACACAGTAGGGGTGGGGGAGGGAGGGGAAGACAGCAGAGACACGAGAACAGGAAATGCAGCAGTTGGTCTTCTTTTATCTTTGTGGTTCCTCTAAAATAAAAACCGAACCACAATCTGGGGGAGGCCGGTTTTGTGTTTTCATCTTTTATTCTACTGATCAGAAACACACACAGAAAACAACACACAACAACTAACACACACTCCTCTGGCTGAGACAAACTCACAAGAGAGGAAGACGCGACGTAAAGACGGATGACAGAACATGCAAAGAAAGGAAACCAAGAGAATTTAAAATAATCTTTTAGAAAAACAATCTCTCGAGACAGTTCTCTTGTCGTGCTAATCTTATTTATCCATTTTTTAAATTTAATAAGCACAGTGGCATTTTTTTAAATCATCAAATTCCCATAAATTGTCCCAACGTAACCTTAAAGCTCAAATATCCACAAGCTAAAACAGCCCAAATGTTAAGAGGGATAGTTCAGCTCTTGTGGAGTTTCTGTTGAAAGGTAAGTAATAAATATCTTACCAGTTGTAGATTAGGTCTGTCACGATAACAAATTTTGCTGGGCGATAAATTGTCTCAGAAATTATTGCGATAAATTATAATATTGTTTGAAATTTAACAATAATTGTCAAATTTTAGAAGAAATGCATATTTGTTTGGAGTGTAATACATTTTTTGACCACCTGGTGGCAGTATAAAACTGTTTGAACCAAAGGATGGATAGTTGAGCGGCGTGTCTCTTTAAGACAAATGGGAGGGAGGGCCCTTGATGTGACACGAGCTGGCATGGTGACATGGCGGACACTCAGCAATTTGAGCTCTTTAGCATAGCATTTGTTACACAAAGCTTTTAATAATAAAAAAAAAAAAGTAACCAAGTTCTCAGTTTCTTTTTGCAGAGAAATACAACTTCTTATACGAAGGCACGAGTTTCAACCGTGAATTTTGGAGCTTCGACAAGACGAAGGTTTATTCCCCGAGCTCGGCCTGTTAGCTTAGCTCGTAGCTTAGCTTCTCAGCTTAGCTGCTTTTAACGATCCCCAAAAAATTTTAACGGTTAAAACAGATTCTAAAGAGGAAAAAGAAAGGGAGGGCTCAGTGAAGAGCACCGGAGTTGAGCAAAATGAGGTAGATGATTTTCATTCATCATGCGATTAATTGGTTTATTGTTTATTGCGACAGGCTTAACGATGTATACGGCAAAGCAACTTATTTAGGTTTTTTCCCACTTTATTAGACATTTTTTGGACTGATGCGACTTATATGGCGGTACGACTCGTATGGTAGAAAATACAGTAGATTTTAAACCGTAAAACAAACGTACTTAACGACAATAACTGCTGGATGTCCGGCGCATGAGCTCTTGGCTTTCAGTCACTGTGGCCCCCTGAGCAATTTAGTCGAATCGTCCCGACTGTACATTCTGCATACGTGTTTATTCTGGCTGTGTTTAGACCAGAGGTGTCCAAACATTTTCATATGTGGCCAAAACTATCCAGATGAAACAACTCGCGGGCCACAAAAATGTGAATTTAACTCTCAACGTGAGCAATATTTTGGAGAAAGGGCAAAAGTTTATTAATTTTTAGTGGAGAGGTTTTTTTTTTTTTAATTGTTGTAGATTCTAAACAAGCCTTATAAATACTAAGATTATATTTTTTATTAAAACGGATTTGATTTGTCGGGTCTGTTTGTTGTTTTCTTCTGTTTGGAAAGTTCAGTTTAGTTTGTTCTCAGCAGCAAAAGCGTAATGTGAGTAAGAGTCCTTTTAAAAGGGGGTCGATCAGCCTTTTGGTCCCTGGACGGCCCAAAAGGCTGATCGAAGTGCTGATAAATCGTCGCACTGTCAGTTGCTACAACCGATTCATAGAAGGTTCGATAAAGTTGTTCAACTCTTATGTAGAGGACACCACGTTATATTTATTTTAAAATGACCAGTTTCCCTCTTGATTATTTTATCAACTGCAATATTTGGACAAGTTTTATGAATCTTAATCCAAAAGTCTCCTTTCTGGTAGGAATCGGTAAAGGTTTGTGGTGCTTTGTACCATGAAGTAAAAACAAAACGATTATAAACAAAGGTTTGTATTTTGTTTAATATTGCTCATTTTGAGGATATTGTTTTTCATTTGTTTTGCTGTTAAACCTAAACATTATATATAAAAAAGGATTACCAACTAATTTGCAGAAAGTCTGCATCAGCCTCTTAAGCCTGCTGGCCAAAATGATACCATTCTTAAACTGCAGTTGCGGACCGCACAAAATCACTACAAGGGCCACAAATGGACCTCGGGCCGCACTTTGGACACCCGTGGGTCAAACAACGAGCTTTACAGATCTGACCTGTGTTGTTACTCTTGCCGTGCTCTTCCTCTTCTATGCTTCCTATTTTTACCCCCCACAATCGAAATCTTTTAGTTCGTTTTATTTCTACTTTTCTAAACCACTTCCTGTAATCCATCTCGTAACCAGAGACAGCGGCGAGTGGTACCAGAGGGAGGACAGAGAGAACTGGCAACGAGAGTTGAACCAGTGAATGCTTCTTACACAGATTACAAACAAACACGGAGTTTCTTTCTGACAAGAACTAGAAATGTCCGATGACAGAATCATCTGTGAAATGTACATTTACAGGTTTTACATGCGTGTGCGTGTACGTGTACAGCCTCATTATTTACGTTTTTGTACGTAAGCTGATTAAAAAAGGAGGCATAAAGACCATTCAGTGGCAGTAAGGGTCAATATTCCAACAAAAGACTAATCTCCTTAGAGAAGGAGAGAAAAGGAAAACAGAAATAAGAAAAAGATTAATATAAAGACAAGAAAGAGAGTTAAAAAAAGGAAAAATCGTGTGACTTTGGGTCCAGAGGGATAAAAGCTCAGACTCAGATAAAAGAAGACCAAATTAAGAACATAAAGAAAAAAGAAAATAGAGGGTGGGTGGGGTACAACAAGTAAAACAGTCCAAACTTCAAAGCATTAACAATGATTTAAAAAAAAAAGCAACTTTTAAATACAAAGCAGATGATAACCACGTTAGCAGACTATCAAAGCTAACAGACCCACAGAACCTAAAACAAAAGCCATGATGTCTCAGATGACCTCTTCGTAAACAGGAAGTGAAAAATAAACAGGTTAAATTTGTTAAAACGACCAAATATTCAACTAAAAAGCAGATTAAAATGACTTTTTTTGCGCTCTATAAGTAAAGCACTTTGCTGGTGCCGAAGGAGGTCGTTTGAGACTGACGAGTAATGAAGCAGTATGAACAATGAACACTGCTGGGGCGATGGTTTAACGTTTAATACTTGTGAAGAAGCACACAAAGCGAATGGCTGGTTAAGCATGAGTGTTGTATGTGTGGAGACGCAGGAGTTGTGTAATCCCATAACTCTCGGACCAGTTCACGCCAATAATTTCAAAATAAAAAAATATTGGAAAATATATTTTGGTTTTGCTTTTATAGTTCAGAAGTTTGAAGGTGTGGTTTTGAGCGATAAACATCTTACCTGTTGTAGATAGCTCTTTGAACGCCTCAGTTGGCAGAAATAAAGTTTAATTTTGGACTGGATGTGGAACGACAACAGCTGACAAAAGTGCACTGATGTCCTAAATGACTCCAATCTTAAAAACTTTCACAACAGTTCATGATATTTTAGAAAACCTTACAATTGCATAATTTTTGCATTATACAGGTAATTACCATAATTTTTGGACTATAAGCTGCTACTTAATTCACACGCTTTGAATACTGCCGCTTATACAATGCTGTGGCTAATTTATGGCAAAACATTTTTTTGACAGACTAATGAGCTTCATGTGGCCCAAACATTTAGCCTCGTCACAACCAGGCACTCACATAGCTGCTCAGTACACGTCTCTCTTGGAGTGGGGGATGGATCCTTGTGACTTAATGAGACTAACCTGTATAAATAAAGGTTAAAAAAACAAATAAAAATCTGACCAGGTCACAGCGGACCAATGAAACTTGGTTTCCAAACCTCCACTGGTATGTCATCAGGTCCTACTGCCTTCCCCTTCTTCATTCTTTTCAGAGCTTTCTGAACTTCGCCCTCACTAATCTTTTCCACTTCCTGGTCCACAGTTTCTATGACCTCTACTCTTCTTTCAGTTTCATTCTCTTCATTCATTAGCTCCTCAAAGTACTCCTTCCACCTTCCTGTCACACTTTCCTCACTTGTTAAAACATTACAATTCCTATCTTTAAAAAGCTCAACCTGCTGCACATCCTTTCCAGGCTGATCCCTCTGTTTCGCCAATCGGCACAAGTCCTTCTCACCCTCTTTAGTGTCCAGCCTCCCATACAACTCATCATACGCCTTCTGCTTTGCCACCTCCCTCCCTATTCTGTTTATATTTTGGTTCATGTTTGAATAAGCAAGTAAAAGTGTTTATGTCTCTTTACATTTTTTGTAGGAATAATGTTAAAAATGGCATTTTAAATTGTAACGGTCAGAATTAAATGATTTCTCCAAACTGAGGTCATTCAAAGAGTTTTCAAAAACAGGTAAGACATTAACTGTTCATGTTTCCTCAGAACCCCACATTAAAAGATCTGAAGCGTCACATTGAAGTGATTCCAGTGCAGACAAACCATATATTTCTCTGAACTGGAGGTTTAAAATGGCTGAGGAAGAGAGGAGAGGTGGAGGTAAACACTAGATTTAGGAAATGAGAATATCCCAATCCAGAAAAAGAAAAAAAGGCAGCCTGTTTCTTTTTTTAAAACTCCGTCCAGGGATTGTTTCCCTCAAACTCCCTGCTCCGACTGGCGGGCCTCCGTGTGACCATCGTGGATCTGTAATCTGTAATCTACCGGAGGTTTGGCCTGATTTTCATGTCGTGGAGGGCTTACCCCTCCCTGAGCCAGCTGGCAGCGCCCTGGAGAGCAGCAGCCAAACTGTGGGGATCAGCAACTGACAGCGCTGCGGGGCCGCTTCATTCACAAACCATCAGGCGCGTGTTCTCGTTCTGCTGCACGACTGAGAGGAGGAGCTGTGTGCAGGTGTGTTAACCCCGGTCTTTAAAACAACACCTGATATCTGTATGTGTTTATGTACCTGTCCTTGCCGTTCTGAATGCCCTGGCCGAGCGTGGCTCTCTCAGCCAGCGGAGAGTTCCGACTGCGGCTGGTACCGGTGGACAGGATGCTATTCTGAAAAGGCAGAAAGACGCAAAATATGAAGCGTTAGAAAACGGCTCACACTGAGCTTCAGAGACTAAACAAAACATGTGAATGCAATTCAAGGCGGTGAGGGATTCCTGGAATAGTTTTGTGCAAACTTACCGATCTGAAAGGATTAATTACACAACACGAATTTAATCAAGACTTAATTAAATTAAACCTGAAGGGGATTTCTTTTTTAGGTACTTTTCTGAAAGTAGCCCATTTTATCATTAGAAATTTGCTCAACTTGTCATTTTGAAGACTCCACACTCCCACACACACACTTTTTATGTTTCCACAAAAGCCCACAAATAAATTAAGAAACCTGCATGAGCTCTAACACAATCTCAGATTGAGAGAAAGTAAAGAAGCTGAAATATTTATGAAACATAATTGACCAAAACAAACAAAACAACATATGAACCACAGATGTACAAATGGTGATGATGTTGAGACAATGTGGATGTTTTTTAGTTTTTGCTACTTTCTTGACCTCCAATTACTTCTGCATATGTTGTGCTGACTTGTGATTTTTTTTACTTGTACTTTAAAAAAAATTGCATTTAATTTACAAACATTTTCCCTGTAGAAATACATTAAGATCCTTTCCACTTCTTAAAAATCAGTTAGTTCCTATTCTGCTGTTTTTAGCTCATATTCTGCTACTTTAAGCTCACATTTTGCTACTTTTAGCTAGTCTTTTGCTGTTTTGCCTTGGCTAGAGTTTTTGCTACTCATAGTTTCTAGCTACTGTTTTACTACTATAAATATT